TTCGAGGTTGGTGACTCGGTCGGTGTTGCCGACGTAGACCACCTGGATGTGCTCCAGTACGTTGCGGAGTCGGGCGGCGTTGAACTGGGCTTCGATGGCGGTGGGCCCGTCGTGGACGAATGCGATCATGTGGCCCTTGAGGACAGACCTAGATGCTGCGCTGGAGCGCTGTCCAGGGACATGTATTTTGGCCACGAGGCTGTAGAGGCGCACGTCTGCGAGGGCAAGGGCTTCAGCCTCGGAAGGAGTTCCGAGCCCGATTCGAGAAAGCAGCCTGAAATCCCGTCCCGAAGCCAAGGGTCGCGAAGGCGGAGCGGCCGCCGGATCCGACAGCGGCCGCGCGCAACTCTCGCACAGAAACGTCTCGTGGCCACCGTCCGGCATGGTGCGCGTGAGCTCCGGGTGCAGGTGCAGCCTCGCGGAGGCGCCGATGGAGACATAGCTGCGGATGCTTTTGGTCTCGACGGTGCGCGTGGAGCCGTCAGCCTCGCAGAAAGTCACCGCAGGCATGGCGTCCAGGTCTCTGCATTCGCCAGGCGTGAGGAAGAGCCAATGGTCGGGAGGCAAGTCTTCGAGCCGAACGCGCTCCGTGGCAGGGAACGCAGGGTCGCGGCGACCGCAGGAACCGCATCCAGGGAGAGGAGCGGCATGATCCATCTTCGCGGAGTAAGCTCGGACCATTCTGCGTTGGTCATCGGCCGTAACGGCACAGAAAGTGCGAACGTCGTTGGCTATCTGGTCGAAGAGGGCGTCGTCAGAAGGTGGCGCCGTCGCGGCGTCTCGATGGCGGAGCTGTCTGGAATGTCGTGACACCTGGTATCCAGATTCAGAATGTAGTCGTTCAATGAAGTCCAGCGGCGTGGCGTCGCCGGCAGTGGTCGTTGCAGGAGCAGCTGCTCGCCTCGTGGCGCTTCGGACAGCCTCCGGGTGGGATGCAGGGGCGCCTGCAGTAGCTGCCGCGGCTTGCGCGGCGGTGATAGCAGATCGCCTCTTGGCGCTTCGGGCAGCCTCCGGGTGGGGTGCGGGGGCGCCTGCAGTAGCTGCCGCGGCTTGCGCGGCGGTGGCAGCAGCGCGGCGCGCCTTCTCTCGGGCTGCTTCTTTGGCGGCGTACGCAGCGTTGCGGCGCCGCTTGCGTGGGGCAACGTCTGGCTTGGATAAGAGGGCTGCAGTGGGGGCGGCAGCAAGACGACGTCGCGCCAGACTGCGGGCAGGCCGCGGAGGGAGCGCGGAGCCCGCGGCCGGCCGCTTCCTCACGACGGAAGGCGGCATGGTGGAGCCAAAACGCTACGGAAAGAATCGCCACGGCTATGGAACCCCCCACGGCGCTTGCAGAGGTAAGGGTGCGTTGGGCCCTGTCGCATCCTGCGAAGAAAGTCGCCGGCCCCATGGGCCACGGGCGTGCTAAGATCTCCGGGAACTGCTTCCGAATATTTCTAGTTCGCGCGCGCGCGGGGGGGCCCCTGGGGTCCCCAGACGAAAAGTACTCCGAACCAGCTCTGGGCAAATCGGGTCAGAGATGGTGTTCCTCCTGGGCGCCGCCCTCAGGGCCACCTAAGAGCACGGTCGGTCGGAATAAGGGGACGGGGGCGCAGGGGGGGAGGCGGGGGGGGGGGGCACAGTCGGTCGGATAAGGAGAGGAGTGGCAGGGGGGGGAGCGGGGGGGAGCGCACGGTCGGTCGGAATAAGGGGAGGGGGGCGCAGGGGGGAGCGGGGGTGGCGGTCGGTCGGAATAGGGGAGGGGGGCGCAGGGGGGGAGCGGGGGGGGGGGGGCAACGGTCGGTCGAATAAGGGAGGGGCGCAGTGTTGGAGGCGGGGGGGGGGGTGGCACGGTGGTCGGAATAAGGGAAGGGGAGGCTGCACGGTGGGGAATTAAAGGATAAAGGCGGATGGGGTGGGGGCACGGTCGGTCGGATAAGGGGAAGGGGCGCATGGGTCTGGAGCGGGGGTGGGCCCATGGTCGGTCGGATAGGGGAGGTGGGCGCAGGGAGGACGGGGGGGAGGGCCCCGTCGTTCCGGAATAAAGGGAGGGGGGCTCAATGGGGAACGGGGGGGTGGCCTAGTCGGTCGGAATAAGAGGAGGGGGGCTGCAGGGTGGGAGGAGCGGGGGGGAGGCCCCACGGTCGTCGATAAGTGACTGGGCGCAAGGGAGGAAAAAAAAGAAAAAAAGCGGGGGAGGCCCGCGGTCGGTCGGATAGGGGAGGGGGCGCAGGGAGGAGCGGGGGGGGCCACGGCGGTCGGACGGGGAGGGGGGCGCAGGGGAGGGGGGCGCAGGGGAGGAGCGGGGGGGGTGGCCCACGGTCGGTCGGAATAAGGGGACGGGGGCGCAGGGGGGGAGCGGTGGGGGGGCCACGGTCGGTCAGAATAAGGGGAGAGGGGCGCAGAAGAGGAGCGGGGGGAGTGGCCCACGGTCGGGCGGAAGAAGGGGACGGGGGCGCAAGGGGGGAGCGGGGGGGGGCCCACGGTCGGTCGGAATAAGCGGAGGGGGGCGCAAGGGGGGAGCGGAGGGGGTGGCCCACGGTCGGTCGGAATAAAGGGAGGGGGGCGCAGGCAGGGAGCGGGGGGGGTGGCCCACGGCCGGTCGGAATAATGGGAAGGGGGCGCAGGGGAGAAGCGGGGGGGGTGGCCCACGGTCGGTCGGAATAAGGGGAGGGGGGCGCAGGGGGGGAGGGGGAGGGGCCAGCACGACCACCAGCGCGACCACCAGCACCTCCACCAGAACGGCCAGCAACACGACCGCGAGCACGACCACCAGCACGACCACCAACACGACCACCAGCACCTCCAGCACGGCCAGCCACCAGCACGACCACCAGCAGAACCACCAGCACGACCACCAGCACGACCACCAGCACCTCCACCAGAACGGCCACCAACACGACCGCCAGCACGACCACCAGCACAAGCACCGGCACGCCCAGCCACCAGCACGACCACCAGCACAACCACCAGCACGACCACCAGCACGACCACCAGCACGACCACCAGCACCTCCACCAGAACGGCCACCAACACGACCGCCAGCACGACCACCAGCACACCACCAGCACGACCACCAGCACGACCACCAGCACGACCACCAGCACGACCAGCCACCAGCACCTCCAGCACGGCCAGCCACCAGCACGACCAAGCACGACCACCAACACGACCACCAGCACCTCCAGCACGGCCAGCCACCAGCACGACCACCAGCACAACCACCAGCACACCACCAGCACGACCACCAGCACGACCACCAGCACGATCACCAGCACCTCCACCAGAACGGCCACCAACACGACCGCCAGCACGATCACCAGCACAACCACCAACGCGACCAGCCACCAGCACGACCACCAGCACAACCGCCAGCACGACCACCAGCACGACCAAGACGACCGCCAGCACGACCACCAGCACAAGCACCAGCACGATCACCAGCACGACCACCAGCACGACCACCAGCACGACCAGCCACCAGCACCTCCAGCACGGCCAGCCACCAGCACGACCAAGCACGACCACCAACACGACCACCAGCACCTCCAGCACGGCCAGCCACCAGCACGACCACCAGCACAACCACCAGCACGACCACCAGCACGACCACCAGCACGATCACCAGCACCTCCACCAGAACGGCCACCAACACGACCGCCAGCACGATCACCAGCACAACCACCAACGCGACCAGCCACCAGCACGACCACCAGCACAACCGCCAGCACGACCACCAGCACGACCAAGACGACCGCCAGCACGACCACCAGCACAAGCACCAGCACGACACCAGCACGACCACCAGCACGACCACCAGCACGACCAGCCACCAGCACCTCCAGCACGGCCAGCCACCAGCACGACCAAGCACGACCACCAACACGACCACCAGCACCTCCAGCACGGCCAGCCACCAGCACGACCACCAGCACAACCACCAGCACGACCACCAGCACGACCACCAGCACGATCATCAGCACCTCCACCAGAACGGCCACCAACACGACCGCCAGCACGATCACCAGCACAACCACCAACGCGACCAGCCACCAGCACGACCACCAGCACAACCGCCAGCACGACCACCAGCACGACCACCAGCCCAGCACGACCACCAGCACGACCACCAGCACGACCAGCCAGCAGCACGACCACCAGCTCGACCACCAGCACCTCCCAGCACGACCACCAGCACAAGTACCAGCACGACCACCAGCACGACTGCGAGCACCTCCACCAGAACGGCCAGCAGCACGACCACCAGCACGACCACCAGCACGTCCACCAACCACGACCACCAGCACGGCCGCCAGCACAACCACCAGCACGACCGCATTATGGGCACACGGTCGGTCGAAATAAAGCAGTGCGAGATCACACCGGTAGGTATGATGACAATTACACTGTGTTCATGGCCCCCGCATGAGCGTCCACGAGCAACGAGCCCCAACAAAGGCGCCAGGGACACCCCAGAGCGGCACAACCTAGAAGCCCCGTGGAAACAACGATCCCCCGACACCTCCTCAGAAGGTCGACGCGAAGCTGTTTCGCGGGGGCAGCTTCTACACCACCATCCCGAACGCAACGCCTCAGAAAAAAAAACATGCGCCGACCCCTGCAGCTCCGCACTGCCGACGACCTCTCGCCCAATCGACCGCGGTGCCTCATCATGGGCCGGCGGAGTGAGCGAAGCGATTAAATAAAGGAGGAGGATAACATGGAGGCTGGAAGGGACTGAGAGAAAGGAGGAGGGCTGGAAGTACAGAGAACGGGTGAAGGGATGGGGCAGCGAAGAGGTGAATGTATTAACTCCTCCTCCTGCTTTTCTGCCAACGTAAGAGGTCAAACGCCAAACGCACTCACCGCCTCTGACCTTCAGGGGCGCCGAGACGAAGACGTAGGACACCACGACGACGACGTCCCCCTTCTCCTTCCCCCCTCCTCCGTCCTCTGCTCCCTCTGCTCCTCCTGCTCCTCCGCCTCCTCCTCCTCCTCCTCCTCCTCCTCGTCTGGGGGTGAACCTGCTTCCCGTGTCGATGATGACCGAAGTGCGCTGCGACACCGGCAGGCCCACCATGACGTCCTGGCCACGTGGGGACAACACTCCTCCTCGTCCATCTCGTTCCCTTCCTCCTCCTTCTCGTCTTCATCGTTCTCGGCATCGTAATCGTCGTCCTCTTCTTCGTCGGCCTCCTTGCCCTCCTCCTCCCTCGTGGTCGTCTCTTTCGTCGTCGTCGCCGTCCTCCTCCTCCTCCTCCTCCCTCCTCCTTCTTGTTCTGCTTCTTCTCGTCTTCGTCGTTTTCTTAATCATCCTCCTCGTGTTCCTCGTTGTCGTCCTCCTCCTCCTCCTCGTCTTGATCGTCATCGGCATTGTGCATCCTCCTCCGCCGCATCGTCCACATCCTCGTCCTCCTTCCCCTCCAAAGCGCGGTGCGCTAACATAGTACCATGTGATCGCATGGTGGCACCCGACCAATTCTCGACCATCGTGGGAGTTCGTAGCTCGCGCAGCCCATGTAGACTGGATTGAACCCGATCTTGCTTTTGAATTTGCACTCTCATGCCTTTGCAAAACGTGCTTTCCAGCAAACCGCATGCTTGTTGGTACGGCGCCTGCTTGCGACGCCCTCTCCAGCGACAGCTGCAAGTCCGATGCCCATAAAATGCCGTAAAGGTACATCCTAAGCGAGAGGTGTCCGCGCCCGAGCCAGCGAGTATCCAGCTTTATCTTCGCTGGTACCCCCACGCCTTTGACATTCCTCCTCCAATCTGGCACTGCGAGGCACACATCGACAAATCGCCCGACAGAGCGCCGCCCGGCTCGCCACCTCGAACGCCGCGCGCCGCTCCTCAGACCTACAACGCACGTGGCGCTGAGCTTAGGCACCCGTTGACGACGCACTGCGGGATCCGGTCACACACTCCCCCTTGTTGCCACAATCCGCCGCCGCACATGCAGCGGCAGGCGTCGCGGCTCTCTAGAACGCTCGCCGCCCCCTTCGGAGCAGTAGCCAGTGCCCACCCCGTTGCGAAAGCTGCGTGGGGAGACCTTCACGTTTACATAGCACCAAGGCTCGTGCCCGTGCGTGGGCACCGCTAGCACCAAAGTTCGCCGCCAAGCTGCGATACACAACCAACGATGGAAGCCCGCTAATCGCTCACGCCCTCTGCCCCTGTGTGCCTCTGGCACGTGGACGTGGGCAGCGCTGGCGCAGAAATGGGCTCACTCGCTCATCCCTCCCTCATTGCGCGTGCACGGGCACCGCTGGCGCAGCAGGGCTTCCCGCCAAACCGCGACAAGCCGTTGAGGCTGGCAGCCCGCGTCGCGCGAACTGTGCTCGCCAGCCACCCAGCCGAGCGCCCGCAGCGAGCTCGCCTCCAGCGCCAAGAGAGCCGCGCTTGCAGTTACGATCCTCGAAGCACCTGGGATGTGCCGCCCCGAAGAGGCCTCCTGCGACCGAGATCCCGTGGGCCTCGTCTGCAGCGCCAGGGCAGCGCAGCCATGCTCCCTCCGCCAATTCTGGGCTGACAAGTCGCCGATGTCCCAGAATAGCTCCGATTGGCCACGTCTTCTCCCCCCCATCCTCTCCTCTCCCCCACCCCGCTCTCATCTCGCCCTCGTCGTGGTCCCTATCCTCCTTTTCCTGCTCCTCCTCCGCATCTCTTAATACTACGATTGCTGTTCATAGGTATACCATTATGAGCACGCTTGCTATTATTATTCTTCGTACTCCTGCCCTCTTCTCCATTATCCCTGATCCCTCCTCCTCCCCCTGCCCCTCTCCCATTCCCCTCCCGCTCCCCTTCCTCCTCCTCCTCCTCCTCCTCCTCCTCCTCCTCCTCATCCCTCTCCTCCTCCTCGTCTTCGTCCTCCTCTTTCTCATCCTCCCCCCAACATTGTGGAACACTCACTCCCCCCCCCCTCGTGATCCCGCCACCCCCCGTCCGTGAAATAATAGGCATACTTGTTCAGGTTCCCGAACAAGCGGGCGGACTCTATCCTGGCGGACCAGCGCGAGTTCGGCGCACCGTTGGGGGAGGGGAGGACGATCAAGAGATGATATGGGGAAGGGGACCCCTGAGATCTGGGCGTCGCATGTTTTCACAACGGGCGTTCTCGCCAGGCTCTGGGCCCCAAGACCATCACAATTCGATGTGGATCGACAAATGCAGCAGAAATGTGGTGTCTGGGGCTCTGGTCGTGATTTTTCCCGATGTTTTGTTTTGTTTCTTGCAATGCCAGATCCCAGGGAAGGGGATGGGAGTGGATACGGCGAGGAACTCTTACTTCGAGTGTCGAGGCGGCGGCCCTGGCGACACGCTATGCCTTGCAAGCGGATGGAGTGTCGCTCCGCATCGCGGGGCGGGAGGCTGTGAAAGGCTCCGGGCGTGGAGGCTCGGGACTTGAGAAAGTGGTTGGCGGGTCGCACCGGAGCGTGGCGGGCCAGAGCTGGCGGCGCGACGCGCCCGGCAAACCTTCCTGACCGCACGGAGGGGTGGGTGAGTGGGAAGGGCAGGGGCTCCGAAGAGGGGGGGTGGGGCAGGCTGGGCCCGCTCACGCCACATCCGGTAACCGACCGACTCCTGCCGCCCATCCCTTCCCACTTCGATGAAGTCTCTCCGTTCCGCCGACTGGGGCCTTGCATGTTGGAGGAGGGGGGGGCAGAAGCAGGAGCCCCACCCGTCGGCGAGCCTGGCTCGTCAGCAACGGGACGTGGCACGAACGCAGCAAAGCCTGAAGCTTAGGGTCCCTGCGGATGGCTACAGGGATTCGATCTTGGATGATCTGCTGCGGGGGGGGGGGCAGAAGCAGGAGGACGAGCAGGACGGTAAGGAAGGAGGACGAGGAGCACCAGGACAGGATACTCCTCCACCACCTCCGTCACCCTCCTCGCGGACCTTGGCACGCACAGCGCGCGCCCCAGCGGTCTACTGAGGTCCTCATGCTTGCTACTTCGCCTAAGTCGGATTAGGATTTCACCCTTTTGCGTACCATCCAAGCGCTACGGTCACAGTCGATCCAAGCTTGCCCAACGCAAAAAGGCAGGCTGAACAGGGGAAGGCGCAGAGAAGGGGAGATAAGGGGGACGTTAGCAGCGAGGAACGAACATCTGAGCGACCGGGGGCGAGAACGCAGATCTGAACGACGGGGGCAAGGCGCAGATCCTGGAAGGTGGCCGACGCTGCAGTGAAGTGCCATGGGTGACACACCGAGGGCTCTCCGATCGAACCGTTGAACAGAACATCCTTCGCGTGGGCAGGCAATCGACGAGGCGGCCCCCGCACTGGACTGCATCTGGGAAAGGAGGAAACGCATCGGAAAACAGGGGGTGAGATCGCCATGAAACGGAGAGTCCCACGCCGGGAGATCGGATTCGGTTTCGTGTTCGGGTCGTACGTGCGGGCGAGGCTCTGCGTGTGTGGGCGGCAAGAATGAACTCTCCTCTGGCTGGCGCACCGCCGCGCCAACAAACCGCCCCGCCCGGGTTGTCCGGCGGTGGCTTGGGGTGTCCCGCGGGTGTCCCGCCGGTGTCTCGTCGGTGTCACGTCGGTGCCCCGTCGGTGTCTCGTAATTAATGAGATCGATCATGGAACCGATAGTGAGATCGAAAGTGAGATCGACAATGAAATCGATAGAAACATCGATAGTGATACCGACAATGACATCGATCGTGGGATCGATCGCGATGTTGATAGTGATTCCGATAGTGGCATCGATTGGTCTGATAGATAATGGTACCGACGTGGTGTCAGTAAAATCGATAGAAATACCGATAATGCGATTGAGAGTGGATTCGATAGTGGGATCGATCATGAAACCGATTGCGACAGCGATCGTGACATCGATAATGAGGTCGATCATGAAATCGATCGTGGATCGATAGTGAAATCCGTCGTGATACCGATCGTGATATCGATTGTGTGACCGATAGTTCGATCGATTGTGAGATCGAGCGTGAAATCGGTCGTGAGATCGGCAGAAGCATGATAGTGAGACCGATCGTGACATCGATCATGTTATCGATGTTGATTTCGATTGAGTGAGACGCTGATTCCCCCCCCGAACTTCCTTAGCACCCGGAGGGTGTTCGTGTATGTATTCATATTGGGCTTTCGTGGGCGGGGCAGGGAGGACTGGCGAAGGCGGAAAGAGGACGCGAATGGGAAAGGGGGAAGGGGGGCGGCAGGGGAGAGAGCGGGGACGGCATCTGGAAGGGAACAAGGAGGGGGGCGGGGGGGGCAGGGAGAAGGTTGACCTGGAACGAGGAGCCGAAAAATGGGAGAGGGCGTGGGGGAACGAAAGAAGGGAGAGGACAAGTGGGCAGCGCCGGAAGCCGCTCAGCCGGCACCTGCGTCGAGATCACCTGCCACCTCTGTCGAATGAGAGCGGGCCCCCGATGTTTGAGCTGGCAGCCTTGCTGAGGCCACCAGCAGCGGGGCTGGGGCGTCCCTTCCAGGGGCGGCGGCGGCCCCGAGAGGCAGCGGAGGAAGAGGGGCAGTGCCCCCCCGTGGCCCCCGAACCGGCGGGGCAAGCGCCGAAATCTTGGGGCCCTCCGCCCGACCCCCGCCGCGCGCGCGGGCGACCTGGCCTTTGCCGCGCCGACCTGCGCCCGCACTGGGAGGGGCAGGGGCATGAGGGAGATAGGGAAAGACAGGGAGAGAGAGAGAGAGAGAGAGAGAGAGAAAAAAAACGATACATATATATATATATATATACACACATATATATACATATCTATATATAGAGAGAGAAAGCAACACAAAAAAGCAAACTAATATATAAGAGAGAGAGAGAGAGAGAGAGAGAAACAAAACAAAGAGGAGCAAACAAAAAGAAAAATGTAGAGAGAGAGAGAAAGAGAGAGAGAGAGAGAGAATCCATGGGAGTGCCAAGCGCGCCCCTAACGCCTCTGGCCATGGGCCGGGCCGTGAAACAAGAAACAAAACACGACCTCCTCGGCAGGCGTCGGCCCGGCGCCTGCCGTGGTCGCCGCGCGATCTCGCGGCTGGCACCCGATGCCACGGAGCCAAGCGAGACGCTCTCACACTCCACCGGCTGTCTGCGCAAGTGGAGATCTTGTCTGTCAGCGTCCTCTTCGCCTTCTTGGAAAGCGCGGCCCAGTCTTCCACTCCGAACCTGGTGGCGAACTTCTCACTGATATGCGCGGCGCGCTGGATGTAGAACGCCCGCGACTCTTCCGGCCGACGTCTAACGTGGACCATGTTGCGTAGCATGCTGCGCTGCGTCGCGCGGAGCTTCTTTTCCAAAGCTATACAGTAAAAGTTCAAGTTCCTGCTGCATGCGTCAAACTCGGTGTGACGCGGGAATGGAATGAGCGAGAGGTAGCCGCCGCTGCCATATAACATCTTTCAACTGGGTGAATACGGACCATCCCGCAAATATGCGATGCACATGCTCTGTCTCACGGTAAAGCCACCGACCCAATTGGCGTGTGTGAGACGCTGTCATCGTCTTCGTCGTCGTCGTCGCCAGTCCCAACGAAATCTAGAAACGAATACGGACAAGAAACGTCGTAAAAGAAACGTCGTAGTGAAGTCGATCCCCACCCCCTTTTCCTCTCCCTGACAGGGGGAGGGTAAGGGGGGGGGGGGGGTACGGAGAGGGGATAAAGGGGGGGAGGTCCTGGGCCAGATTGCCGCCCCCCCGGGGGCCCAGCGGCCTTCCCTCCCCTCGCCAGGGCAGTCCCCCCTGTGGCGAAAGGGGGACGGGGAAGTGGTCTCCCTGTCCGCAAGGGAGCTCCCCCTCCCTCTGCCTCGGCCCCAATCCCGGCCCCAACCCCGGCCCCAGCCCCAGCCCCCAGCCCCGGCCCGGCCCCGTCGCCTCCCACACGCCCACGCCCGCCCCCGAGGAGACACACGGCTCTCCTCCTCTTCCTCCTTCTCCTCCTCTCTCTCTCTCTCTCTCTCTCCTTTTCTTTCGCTTTCTCTATCTCTTCCCCTTTCTCTTCATATGTATGATATGGTTTCTCTTTCTCTTTCTCTGTATCCACCTCTTTCTCTTTATATGTCTCTTTCATGTTCCCGTTCTCGTTCTCTTTATCTGTCTCTTGCTCTCGTTATGTCGCGTTCTCTTTCTCTTCCTTTTTCCCCTTCCTCCTCCTTCTCCTCCTTATATGTCTCTTTCTCCTTCTCTTTCTCGTTCTCTTTCTCTTTATATTCCTCTCTCTCTCTGTCTGTTTCTCTTTATATGTATATGCAGATTCCTCTGTTTCTTATTTTTTGTGTTCCTTGTTATATTTCGCTGTCTCCTCCTCCTGCTTTGTATCACCATATATATATATATATGTATTTTTCCCTCACTCACTCACTCACTCACTCACTCACTCCTCCTCCTCCTCCTCCCTCCTCCTCCTCCTCCTCCTCCTCCTCTTTTTCTTCTTCGTCTTCTTCCTCTTCCTTCATTCCTTTTCCTTCCGGATAACTTCTCCCTGTCGCATCCCTCGGCCAGTTTTAGGGGCGGGTCGGGCGTTTCGCTTGAGACTTCCTCACCACTGATGATCCTGAAGTTTAAACATTGGCAATCGTTTCGCAGATGGAGGGCGGGTGGTTTTCAAAATGTGGCTGACGCCAAAGCGCCGCGCGCATGCGTTGTAGAAAACTGCAGGGGTTTCACGGATCGGGGGCGGTTCCTTTGCAACATGTGGCTCTCGCCTCTAGCGCCGCGCACGCACATTCGTCTTAGAACATTGCAAGAGCTTCACGGATTGAGGGCGGTTCCTTTTCAAACTGTGGCTCTTGCCGTAGCGCCGCGCACATTCGTTTGAGAAAATGTGTAAGTGTGTCCCGAATTGCGAGCGGGTGGTTTTCAAAATGTGATTCTCTCCTTAGCGCCACGTGCATTCGTTTAACAAATGTGCAAGGGCTTCGCGGGTTGAGGGCGGATCCTTTTCAACATGTGGCTCTCGCCTTAGTGCCGCGCACTTCGTTTACAATATGTACACAAGTTTCACGGATCCCCATGATCAACGTAGCAGAAATGGTGTTTTAGAAAGATTCAAGAGAATGCGGGTGCAGCAATTCAGTTGATTCGTGGTGTTGAAGTCCCAGGAACGGCGTTCTGGCACGATTCAGGCTCGTCAGGACGCAACAGTCAGGTTGATCCGTGGCGTTGGGATCCCGAGAACAATGTTTTGGTATGCTTCAGAATCTTCCAACGGCTGTCTTCCGACGAGGCAGCTCCCCCAGTGAAGATGAACCGTTGTAGGGGCCTGTCAGGAGGGAGCTTGGAGGGAGGGCTTGTTCCAACATCGTTGATGACTCTTGAATTTACACCTCCTCCTCCTCCTCCTCCTCCTCCTCCTCCTCCTCCTCCTCCCCCTCCTCCTCCTCCTCCTCCTCCTCCCCCTCCTCCCCCTGGGCGCGCCGCCGATCTTCGTCGCCGTCGCCGTCGCCGTCGCCGCCGTCGTCATCGCCGTCGCCGTCGCCGTCGCCGTCGCCGTCGCCGTCGCCGTCGCCGTCGTCGTCGTCGTCGTCCTCCTCCTCCTCCTCCTCCTCCTCCTCCTCTGCGGCGGCGGCGGCGCGGTGCTGTGCGTCCTCTGCTCAGGGTCGTACACGAAGCCGCCAGGGCTGGCGCGGGCCAGCGCCGCCAGCGCCGCCTCGCCGGGGCTCGCGCTCGGGGCCGTTGCCAGCGCTCGGCTGTGGCATGAATCCCCTCCTCCCCGCCACATCCTTCCTCCATCCTTCCTCCTTCCTCCCTCCTCCTGCCTCCATCATTCCTCCCTCCTTCCCTCCTCGTTCTTCTCGTCACTTCTCCTCCTCCTCCTCCTCCTCATCTTCCTCCTCCTCCTCTTCTTCCCTCCTCCTTTTCCTCCTCCTCCTCCTCCTCCTCCTCCTCCTCCTCCTGCTCCCTCCCTCCCTCCCTCCTTCCCTCCCTCCTCCCTCCAGCGCCTCCTTACGCACTCTCTGTTGCACCCCCAGACGTGTCGGTAGGGCGGTCTGGGCGTTTCGCCCGAGACTTCCTCGCAGTTCCTTATCCTGAGGCTTGAGGTTTGCAGCTGGTTCTCGCCTTAGCGCCATGCGCATTCGCCTCACACTTTCCCAACAGTCTCGAGGATTGACACCAGCCCGTTTTCAAACCGTTGCTCTCGCCTTCGGGCCGCGCAGATTCGTCTTCGAACGTCGCAGCAGTCTCGATGATCGAGGGCGGCCCGTTCTCAAAATGTTGCTCTTGCCTCAGCGCCGCGCGTATTCGTGTTAAGAGTCTGCGCTGATTGCAGAGATGGACGGCGGCTCCATTTAAAACTATAGTTTTCGCCTCAACGTCTGCCGCCGTTTCAAGGATTCGTCGGGCTGAAGTCCCAAGAATGGAGTTCTGCCACGGTTTACGAGCGTCAGGACGCAAGAGTCACGTTGATTCGCGGTGTTGGAATCCTGAGGAAAGTTTTCTAGCGCGGCCAACAGTCGCAAGTGGTCAGGTTGATTCGCGGCGTCGATGTCCCAAGAATTGTGTTTTGGCACGATTGGGGATTCACAGACGCTTGTCTTTCAATGGGGCACTTCCCGCAGTGAGAATAAACAATTGAACCGAAATGTGAAGAGAGAATTGGGAGGGAAGGCTTATTGCAACATAGTTGATGCGTCTTGGGCCTATGTTGGTCCTCCTCCTCCTCCTCCCTCCTTCTCCTTACTCCCTCCTCCTCCTCCTCCTCCCCCTCCTGATCCTCCTCTTGATCCTCCACCCCTCCTCCTCCTCCTCCTTGCTCCTCCTCCCTGCTCCTCCTCCTCCGGACCCCGTTTCTGAAGGCGGACCGTCGTTGTCGTCGCCATCGACGTCGGTGACGACGAGGAGGGAGCAGGAGGAAGCGAGGATGAGGACCCGAACATCCGACGTGGCGTTATTGTTCGCAGCGTGACCACCAGAGGTCTGGACCCCTTCCAGGAGACTAGCTTTCCGCGCGCAATTGTTGTTTCTGTCCCGAGGCCCAGCGAGGGCCCACAGAGGCCGACCACTGCTTTAAACTCAGCCGAGATATTCGCGGCGCGCAGCTGCCTGGTCTCGGGGTCGCAGCTCGGATCGCCGGCGGCCGGTCGGGACGATCCGGGCGCCCTGGGGCTGTTCTCGGCGAGGCGCAGCTACTGGAGAGCACCCGGAGACTGGAGAGCCATTGGGGACCGACGAACATGTTGTTGAATCCCGACCCTCGACGACGGCGTCGTGGAGGCGGATGCCAGGGGAGAAGGCGACGAGGGCGGCGCCGCTGACAACGCCGCCGACGACGAGGCCGCCGAGGCCAGGCGGTCTCGGCGTGGAGGGAGCGGGTCCCGAAGGCAACGGTCCTGGACCCTGCGAGGCTGTCACTCATAGGATCAGCAGTTCGGCTGCTTCCCAGTCGGGGCTGATTGGCGAGAGCACGCGAGAGGACACAAGACCCTGCCGAGGGCCACATTGCCAGAGATATGTAGAAGGCATGGGTCGCGACACGCAGGACACACGGGTACCCTTGATCTTGCAGGGTCGACCCACGAATCAGCCTCGACTGCATACCTAGGGTCAGGGCGGTCATAGCCAGGGTTACATAGGGCAGCTCTAGCTGCACTTATAACCTGCCTGCGGCGGGCCGTGGAGTGGTTGCAGAGCTTGTCAGGTCCCCCCCCGTCCTCCTCGGGACCCGCTTCCTTCTTGCGAAACGCGGCGGAGGGTGGCGTCGTCGTCCTCGTCGTCGTCCTCGCCGTCGTCCGCCTCCTCCTCCTCCTCCTCCTCCTCCTCCTCCTCCTCCTCCCCTCCTCCTCCTCCTCTCCTCCTCCTCCTCCCTCCCCCCCCCCCCTCCTCCATGTTCTCCTCCTTGTGCTCCTCCTTGTTCTCCTCCTTGTTCTCCTCCTCCTCCTCCTCCTCCTCCTCCTCTTCCTCCTCCTCCTCCTCCTCCTCGCCCTGCCTCCCCCCGGGGCCAGCTCTTCATCCCGAGTCGTTCCTGAGTGGCCCTGGGGCCTGGGGAGGGGGCACCGCCGAGGCCCAGAGCACGGCGAGAGACCTCGGAACCCGCTGCCCTCGGGGCCCGTCCGCCTCGTGGGCGGCGGCATCCGACGCCGTGGTGTTTCACAGCGTGGCTCCCCAGAGGGTTCGGGCGGGTGGTGCAGCGGAGGCCAGTCCACAAGAGACCTTCCACAAAGAAACCCAGCCCTGAGACCCCAGGACGTCCACTGATCTTGTGGCGCGGAGGCCTCACGCTGTCCGTCGCAAAACCATCGCAGCCCACGAAACCCAGGGCACCCTGGAGGCAAGCAGGGTGCTTCTTGGCATGGGCCTCCACTGCACTGGGGCATGACCCAAATCGGGGGTGACGACAGAGGGCCCTACAGGACTCCCCTTTGGGGCCCCCGCGGGCTCCAAAAGGGGTCCCCAAGGGGTCCCTTCGGGCCCCTTTCTTCACCCCTCGTGTGGCGCCACCCCCCCATTCAGGGGACCACATGCGACCCCAACCCCTGCCCCCCACGATTTCTGAGGGGGAGGGTGGAGCTCACTTCGCTCGGGAGCTCCCGCACGAAGTGAATTCCACCATGCCCCCCCCAGAAATCGTGGGGGGTAGGGGCAGGCTTCGCCTCCTGTCGGTCGGCTGTGTCTCGGGTCCTGGGTCCGTCCCTCGTCCCTTTCGGCCTTCGGGCCCTCCGCCGCTCGTCGGCCTTGCAGGGAGCTGAGGCTGGTCGTCAGCCCGCGTCCAAACAGAGGGGCAGGGTTCGCCAATGGCCCCCCCGCCCCTGCCACCCGCCCGAGAGCGCTGGGGGCCCCTGCCCCGGGACCGCCGCTCCACCCCGAGCCGCTCGCGGACGGCCCCCGGGGGGGGCGGGCGAGGGCCCACGGAGCCCGAAAGCGTGCAGAACGTCCCCCCTCGCGATGCTGTCACGAAAACCTGCGGCTTCCCTCGCGAGGCTGCGCGCGGCGACAGCAGCCCCGAAACCGACCGAACCGACCGCGAAGCCGAAGCCGACCGAAATCGACAGGCCGAAAGCAGCCCCGAAGGGAAGGGCGCAGCGACGCGGCAACGACACGAGATCCGACCGAACAAGGCCGACCCACCGCAGCCGACTGCGACGCAACCGATCCGACCGAAGACGACGACGAAAAAAGACGACGACGACGAAGACGACGACGACGACGACGACGACGACGACGACGACGACGACGAGGACGAGGACGAGGACGAGGACGACGACCCGTCCCTCAAGACCCGTCTGCTTCACAACGAGGGGGGGTGCGGCTGCGCGCTCCAGGGCGGCTTGCCGCGCACCGGCGCCGGCGGGCATGCTGGCGGGCAGCGCCTTCTCTGGAGGCGGGCCGCCGTCATCGACGTCGTCGCGATCGTCACCAGCGCCGCCGTCGCCTCTCTCCCTCCTCATCCTCCTGCTCCTGCTCCTGCTCCTGCTACTGCTCCTCCTCCTCCTTCTCCTCCTCCTCCTCCTCCTCCTCCTCCTCCTCATTATCATCCTCCTTCTTCTTCTTCTCCTCCTCCTCCTCCTCCTCCTCCTCCTCCTCCCTCCTCCTCCTCCTCCTCCTCCTCCTCCTCCTCCTCCCCCTCCCCCACCCCTCCTCCGCCTCCTCCTCCCTCCTCTCCTCCTCCTCCTCCTCCTCCTCTCCTCCTCCTCCTCCTCCCTCCCTCCTCCCTCGTCCTCCCCCCGTCCTCCTCCTCCTCCTCCTCCCCTCCTCCTCTCTCCCCTCCTCCTTCCCCTCCTCCCCCTCCTCCGCCTCCCCCTCCTCCTCCTCCCCTCTCTCGCCTCCTCCTCCCCCTCCTCCCCCTCCTCCTCCTCCTCCTCCTCCTCCTCCTCCTATCCTCATCCTCCCCCTCTTCCTCCTCCTCCTCCTCCTCCTCCTCCTCCTCCTCTTCTTCTAGAATTATACAATATAAATACAACTCTCCGATCTATCCCCTGATGACGTCCCGAAGATAACTATCCTGCCCCCCTCCGTGTATTGCTTTTTACACAGAGGATTTTCGGGATCTGGGTTTTCGCTGGAGTTGTTTTTTTAAATGCTGCTCCCGCTGAAGCGCTGGCCCCATTCTGCGCCTCTGGTTGTTCCAAATCGTGCTCCCGCTGCAGCGCGGGCGCTTTCGGTCCTTCCAATTGAGCCCCAAAAATATAGAAAATGCCTCCCCGAACAAACCATCGGAAGTGAGTACACATTCGGTGTCGATTCCTTGATTTTTGGGTCCGCCGCAGAAGCCCCCCCCCCCCCCCCCACTTTGGGGCGTCGTCGTTTTCAGGACCCGGAGCCCTGTTTCTGCTTTGAGAAGGCGATGTTGGAAGCAGAGCCAGCGGGTGCTGTCCATCAGCCCCGCCGTATGTGAGCTGTTCGGGGAGCCCAAAAAGCTAGACATGGAGCCGCGACTCCAGACCGGCCCAGACCTCTCGAAGACGATCCACTTACCCTCCAAGGAACCCAGCGCCATGCCATGACATGCTGTGCGGTGTTGCGTTCTGCGCCGCTGTGCGACGCCACGATTTGCGTTGCAATGCTTTGTGATGCAATGCTTCACTGCGCAATGCCATGCCACCCTATGGAATGCTACGCTCTGCCGTGCTATTCTACGCCGTGCCATGCCGTGCTCTACCATGTAACGCGCACCCTCTCGCGATCGTTGCCCCGAATAAAGAAGATATCTACGCCATGGTAAGGGATTGGGAGGGTGGGGTAGGACGTCAGACATGGCGCGATCGCACCTAGCCTGCCCCTCTCCCCTCTCCCCTCTCCCCTCTCCCCTCTTCCTCCTCCTCCTGCTGCTCCTCATCCTCCTCCTCGTCCTCCTCCTCCTCCTCCTCCTCCTCTTCCTCCTCCTCCAGACTCGCCTCCAACGCGCTCAAGCGTAACCTTAATCTCCTCCTCCTCCTCCTCCTCCTCTCCCTACCTTCGCAGTGCCGTCGCCACCACCTCCGCCGTGATGCTCCACGACGCGAGGAAGTGTGGGCTGGTCAGGCTTCGGGTCATCACTCGGGCCTCTGGTGGCCACTCGGGGCGATCCGGGCACCCCCAGAACGCTCTCGGCGAGGCGCGGCTGCTGGCGAGCGCCCCGAGGCGAGAAAACCCGCGGGAACCGACGACACCTCCCCCACAGAGATCCGACGTCTTGACTTTCTCGGTGCGTGGGCCCTGGAGCTCCCGACCCCTCTCCCCAGGGCTGGCTCTTCATGAAGGGGCCCAGGGACCCACAAATAAATACACACAAATCCCAGGACTCCCCATATTTTCCCGTATGTTCTGGGTTTTCGTCTTCCCCCCCCCACTTCCCATATGTTCCCACATTTTCCTGGGGATCGAGGATTCATGGTGGTGTCTGTGTGTGTTTTTTTTTCCCCCTCCTGACTTCGTCCCGAGCCGGCCTTTGACGGTCCCAGGGCCCGGCGACGGTTCCCAGAGGCCGATCAATCATGGCGGAAAGCATCCACCTGGAGTTCTTCCATGCGCTGGACGACCCCGGGCGCCTCGCGGAACTCGCGCGCGGGGCACTCGCGGCACGGCTGCGCCCGGGTGCCCAGAGCGAGCTGCAGCGGACACCCCGCTGCAGCTCGCTCCGGACACCTGGGCGCCGTCGGCGCCGTCGGCGCCGTCGTCGTCGCCGCCGTCGTCGTCGTCGTCGTCGTCGTCGGCGGCGGCGGCGGCGGCGGCGGCGGCGCCGTCGTCGTCGCCGCCGTCGTCGTCGTCGTCGTCGTCGTCGTCGTCGTCGTCGTCGTCCGCGCCGTCGTGGTCGTCGTCGTCGTCGTCGTCGTCGTCGTCGTCGTCGTCGTCGTCGTCGTCGTCGCGGCGGCGGCGGCGGCGGCGGCGGCGGCGGCGGCGGCGGCGGCGGCGCCGTCGTCGTCGTCGCCGTCGTCGTCGTCGTCGTCGTCGTCGTCGTCGTCGTCGTCGTCGCGCCGTCGTCGTCGTCCGCGCCGTCGTGGTCGTCGTCGTCGTCGTCGTCGTCGTCGTCGGCGGCGGCGGCGGCGGCGCGGCTGCGGCGGCGGCGGCGCCGTCGTCGTCGCCGCCGTCGTCGTCGTCGTCGTCGTCGTCGTCGTCGTCGTCCGTCGAGCGCCGTCGTCGTCGTGGCGCCGTCGTGTCGTCGTCGTCGTCGTCGTCGTCGTCGTCGTCGGAGGCGGCGGCGGCGGCGGCGCGCCGTCGTCGTCGTCGCCGCCGTCGTCGTCGCCGTCGTCGTCGTCGTCGTCGTCGTCGTCCGCGCCGTCGTCGGTCCGCGCCGTCGTGGTCGTCGTTCGTCGTCGTCGTCGTCGTCGTCGTCGTCGGCGGCGGCGGCGGCGGCGGCGGCGGCGGCGGCGTCGTCGCCGCCGTCGTCGTCGTCGTCGTCGTCGTCGTCGCCGTCGTCGTCGTCGTCGTCGTCGTCGTCGTCGTCCGCGCCGTCGTCGTCGTCGTCGTCGTCGTCGTCGTCGGCGGCGGCGGCGGCGGCGGCGGCCCCCCCGAAGGCTGGGCAGCAAGCCGGGAGGCAGGCCCTGCAGCCCTGAGAGGGGGCCCCACACGCCGATGGGCCGCGGGCCAGGCCAAGAGGTCCAGACCAAAAGGGCTGCGCGGGCGGGGAGGGAGGGAGGAGGGGGGGAGTGAGGGAGGGAGGGAGGGAGGGAGGGGTTCTGGAGTGCGCGTCTGATTCAACCGCGGGCTGGTCCGGTCCAGGGCGGCACACGGCAACAACCGGCCACGGGGGGGAGGAGGGGGGAGGTTCTTGTTGTGTTCCATTATATCGCCGTGCGTGGTGACCAGCTACGAGGCGTGGCACGCAAGATCAAATCAGACCTCAGGGAACTTGCCGCCCGACTTTGGCGGGAGGCCCCATTTGAGGCGACGCGAAACATCTTTCCCGGCACGACTGGGAGCCTTGCGCGGCCCCTTTAAGTTCACGCCGCGCATCATTACAATAGCACCTGCAGGCTTCACCGAACAACGCTCCCTGTAGGTTGCCAACTGGTTAGCCAGGAGACAAACAGCAACAACAATATTATCCATCGCACCACCTCCTCCAAACTCCGACGGTCCCAAATAATCACGAGTCGGAGTAGGCTCTCAAACCGTTGGGTCGTGTGCTCACTGCGTGAGAGAGCCTGAACTTTTGTTTAATACCATCTCGGGGCTTCCAGAGGTACTACCAAAATCAGACCGGGCGCCGTTCCTGCTATAACTTCTGGCGCACACAGCCGGACGGACAGTAACATCATGATTTGCATTACGCAGTCTGCTTTTCTTAACGCCTACATCAAACAGCGAACGCTTAATTCGCGAGCGCGGTACAGAGTCTGGGACGTGAACGACACCTCCCTCTGCGCCGCCATGATGCGCTCAACAACTTCGACAACCCGCCTATCGGCCGCAAAAGTGGCCAGGGCCTGGGAGTCTGACACCTGACCTGCTTCCGCGGCTCTGCCCGCATGTCAGCCAACAGCTTTGTTTGAATCGACTTCCACATCGCTGAGACAGATAGTGCAACTCAGCGACTGGGTGGGGTGACCTTTGGCCCATCGAACATCAACCGAGTCGCCACGGGCCCTAAGCACATCATGGAACATCACACAAAGGTCGAGCATGGCGGATCTGGATTTCGATCGCATGGATTTCGATCGCAATGATTGCCAAACTGGACTGGGGAGGTTCAGGAAGAGGCTCAGGGATGGCGGACTCGGGCGCATCAGCGCTGCACCTTTGAAGCCATGGCCCGTGGGCAGCAGTCTCCGGCGCGCGCCCACATTTAGGGCACACGCCCCTGGTGGCCGACTCGTGGCTGGCCTGGGCGATGCGGTCCTCAGTCCAAAGCCCGCCATCAAAGCATTCCTATCCATCCGCAGACTCAAAAGAACATTCTTTTTCGAGTCTCTGCGGAACTTTCCGAGGCACAGTGAAATCCGCCGACCCTGTCGGCGTGTGCGAGGGGCTTGTCTGTTCGAGTCGTCGTCTCCGTCAGTCGTCGTCTGCGTCGCCACCTTTCCCGGCATCCTCCTCAAATCTGTCGGTGAAAAAAACCCTCGCAATGTCGCAATCAAATCGAAGGGAAACCCCTTCCTTTTGATCCCTTCCCCGCGCCTGGGGGGGGGTCCCAGGGGGGTCGCCACCCAGATGCGCTTCCCCCCCCCGCGCGATTCCGAAACCCTCGCGCGGTCCCCGCGCGGCCCCGACAGGGGCTGCAAAAAGTACCAACACAAGCCAAGAGTGCCCCAAGAGGCCCCGAGACGGTCCAAGAGGGCCCCCAATCGCCAAACGATCGGTCCATAACGCCTTCACGCTCCAAGAACGCACAGGAGACCTCCAAAACGCCTCAAGAGGCCATCCAAGGCACTCCCGAGAGGGCCACAAGAAGCAAACATCATTCATTTTCCTTCGGGTTTAAACCGACTTGGGCGTTCTCACCTTTTCCGTCCCCCGCCGCTCCAAGACGGCCGACGAGGCCCTCAAGATCACCCCAAGACGTCCCAAGAGGCTTCAAACAGCGCCCCAAAGCATCACAAAAAACCAAGACAACCCCCAACGCCTCCAAGACGGCCCCAACTGGCCCCCAAGACGGCTCCAAAAGCGTGCCTTGACGGGGAGCCCGAATGGACATTTCGAGCGCTCAGCCCCGAGAAGCTCCCAGGAGGCCCCAAGAGGTTCCCAAGAGGCCCCAGGAAGCCCGCAAGAAACCCCCAGGACACCCGAAAAGGCCCCGAAGAGGTTCCCAACAAGAGACATCAACATTTCTCCCCAGAGGCCTGCGAGAGCCTTCCCAAGAGACCCCAAGAAACATCACTGAGGACTCGGGCCCACGTCAGCGTCGTCGTCGTCGTCGTCGCCGCCGCCGCCGCCGCCGCCGCCGTCGTCGTCCCCCTTCAGGGTCGGCGGCACCGGCCGTAAGGCCTTCGCAATCAACGCGGTGATCCAAATCTGATCAAAAGTTGTGATTGACGGCGCCGCTCCAAGAAAACTCGCCGCCAACCTTCTGGAGGGCCTGCCACATGTGGACAAAAATCATCGATCAGCCCCAAGTTCGTGCAGTCAGTATACAGGCGATACAGGCGAGACCTTTATGCAGTTCTGACAACGCAGCCAGCGTGGCCGCAGTGGGTCCACGCACCTTCTGCCACCTGCGCGTAATACCAGCGAACACATCGCTGAGGTGCGCCCGACATTCTGCTGCCTGCATGCGTTGCTCATGTCCAGAGTCGAACCAGACACCGCGAAACTGACATAGACGCTCGCGGCGAAGCGTTAGAACCGGGGGTCATCCTTGGCCGCGCTGGCCAGAACCAGAACCGCGGCCAGAACCAGAACCGCGGCCGCGCAGGCAGGAGGGCATCGCCATCCCGAGCGCGCGACCGCTCGGGCCCGCGTCGGCTTGACACTCGCCCAAGATCGGGACCCCAAGCCGGGCGCCCCCCTGGGCCCAATCACCAGAGCTCCAGGTTTGTAGCAGAGCTCCAGGTTTGTAGAATTTAGTGGCTCTGCCAACTGCTCTGGGTGTCTTGATGAGCGGGAGGGGGCGCCCCTCCGACGGGGGTCAACCTCGCCGCGTCGTCGCGCCGCGACGGGGGTCGATGCGAGGCTGTCGGCGGGGGTGGCGCTCCGAGTATCTTACTCAGGACGGAAGCATTCTTGGCCTTCTCAGAAGCCTGGCTCCTCCTCCTCTGCGCGAGTTTCGCAGCGGGCCTTCGCTTGCCGGCCGTCGCGATGGCCCCCGGATCCCGAGCAGCTAGCTCGAGAATATTCCGAAGGCCTTCATCGTGGAAGTGAACAGAAAACGGTGCACGACAGCTTGGTTGCGCGCCATAGTTGGGCTTGTCAGAGACGATGCAACCAATGCCTTCCAAGTTGAACACGCTACGAGGTATTCCTAGCCTTGTCTGGGTCAGTGCAAACGTCACTCCAAAACGTTTCATCGTGCCCCGCCATCCATGCGTCCAACGTTGGTGGACGCCACTAGGGTCGCCAAAACCCCTGGGGGTTTCTCCAACATCACATTTCCACCAAGCGTGGGCTCGCTTGGTTTTTTCGGCCACGCATTCAGCTGGCTCACAGTTTCTCCACGCGCGATGTTCGAATCGCCAATCATGGCCGCGCCCTGCATCGCTGCGGCCCGAGTCACAAGCTGGGAACCTTCGAAAGCACAAACGGGGGCAGGCGGGGCCTCCAACCTCTCGGCAAGGCGTCGAGCTTCCCGCGAAAGTGCAGGGCTGGCTCCGGATGATGTTCAGCAACAAAGAATGCATCGCAAGTGGCCTGACCTGCTGCGAGAAACCCAGTGTCACCTGAATCCGCGAAGCGACGTTGCAAACGTGCCAATATCCTGGGAGTGCCTTGTCTTGGGCAATTCGAGGCCGTCGCGCATGCGACGTCGGGGCGCGCGCCGCCGCGCCTGCCGGGGGTCGTAGGCTTCGTCAGGAACTCGTTAGGGGGAAGCCGCTGCATCAGCCCTGGCCGCGCGCATCCACGTGGTAGCTTCGGCAGCTGACTGCTTCGGCATGAGGGGCCTCGCGCGGTTGAGATCTTCCAGCGGCGCTGGGGCTACAGCACCTCGCTCCCGTCGCTGCTCAAGACCGCCGCGGTGTGAGTCATCATGTGCACCTTCACTGCATACTGAACCACCCTCACTATCAGCTGCAGGTAGGGAAGCATGGAACTGACGAATCGGCTCCGGGAGCTCAATCCTCGCCTTGCCTGAAATGCACCATTATTTGAGCTCCTCTGGCGACGTGGCGCCGATGTCGGAGGGCCCCGGCGCGTTCGGGGCCGCCGCGGCCCCCCGCGCGCTCGCGTCGCCATCCTGCGCGCGAGGCCGAGAAGCAGGCTGATGAGGTAGGCTAGCAGCAGCGCGCTTTTGGTCCGACTGAGCAATGGCAGGCCCTTCAGGCCCACGTCTACGCGTGGCTTCTGCCGCGGCTCAATCCGCCTTCCATTCGCCGATATTGAAACTCCGTGGCTGCTGATCCGCGCCCTGTCTGGCCTTCTCGGGCTCTTCAAGATCGCGTTGCGCCGCGAAGAACTGTCAGGTGGCATCGCCGAGATGCTGCGGGAACTGTGCCACCTTCGCTATCGGAACTTCAACGTCTTGAACTGATAGTCGCACCTTCTTCGCGGCATCCTCGCGCGCTCTGCACTGGCCGCCGCATTCAGCTGCAATGGAGTGGGCGCAGGACATGCCGGTCGAGGTGGGGCAGACTTTCCGAGGTTTGCTTGCAACTCGGGCTTGAAGCCCAACAACTGGCAACTCGGGCTTGAAGCCAAACAACTCTCCTGATGTGTCAGACACTGGGTTCAGCGCGGTCCGATCCAGCATTGAATTCGGTAACGTGTGCTTCGTGACCATGAATCGAATGCTCCCAGTTCCCGCAAGAGCCACGTACTTCGTAGCCCCTCTTCTGGGATATGACGGCGATCTGAAACAGGCTTGGGCACCCGCAGCCGGTGTACCCAAGCAAGTTTCTGTCCCAATTTCGACACAGCCCGATTGCGCCAAGAAGGAAAAACAACACCAGACAACGCGTGACAAAGCGCAACGGGCGCCCGAACCCGTGCAGCGTGGGCGTGCAACTCTGCGAACAGCCGGGCTGTTCTGATTGCCGCGGGTCAGCGGTATCCACGTGGTTCACCTGAGAACCTTGAGCCAAAACGGCTACGGGAGAAGAGGAGGGAGGAGGGAAGCTGGGAGGGAGGGAGGGAATGATTTTGGATTGCGCGTCAAATTCAACCACTGGCTGGTCAGGTAACTATGGGGCAGCACTGGCAACAGGCTCTGCGAGACAGGCTGCCACGAGCAAAACTGCGGCATTGGCGCCAAGGATGCGGGCAAGCACTGCTGACGCCTTGCCGCCTGTCGCAATGTGCCGCCGCACAGCGCACAGCGCACAGCGTATTTTCAAGGAAAGGCACAACAATAAGACAGCGAGGCAGGGCGGTCCTGGCTGTTTCTTTGTTCCAGGTCCCTGCACGCGCAAAAAGACATGCAACTTCGGCCAAGCATCCTGTGCCTGAGGGGGGGCGACCATCGGTCTTAGCAGCGCGTTTCCTACCCACTCCTGTTCCATTTGTTGTGATGTGAGTGTAACCTTCCTCCAATACCCGTCATGCGTCCGTAGTGCGGGTAGGCCGTCGCCGACGTCGCTGCCGTCGCCGCCGCGCTGAGGTGGACGAAAGGCTGCCGACTGTCGCTGTGGTCGAGTCGGCCCGGCCACCGTCTGAGGGCCACGGCCCCCAGGAGGGGGAATGAGAGCGGCTTTCTGTTTTTGAAATGGGGAGGGATAACGAAGAGGAGGAGGAGGAGGAGGAGGAGGAGGAGGAGGAGGAGGAGGAGGAGGAGGAGGAGGAGGAGGAGGAGGGGGGAGAGGAGGACGAGGAGGAGGAGGAGGAGGAGGAAAGATAACGAGGAGCAGGAGGGTCCAACCTTTGGAAGACTTTGGCTATCTTCGGGCCCCTGGAAGCTTCCCGAGGCCTTTGGAGACCTCCGAGACCTTCGGTGTGGAGACCTCTGGGGCCTCCCGGCGCCTCCCAAGAGGCCTGCAGCCGGACCTGGAGACCGCCAAGGAGCCCAGGGAACGAGCCGAGGGGCACCAGCAACAAGCGGCATCAGCTGCTTCTTGGCACTCTCGAACGCTGCTGCGCCCCTGGGGGGTGCCCCCCATGCTCGCCACCGCTGGGACGCCCATTCCCCGTGTATTCTTCGGCTTCGCAAGGTGATCGAAGATGCTCCTCTGTGGCCCTCGCCGAGGAAGAACAAACACGTCCGAACGATGCCAAGAGAGAGCCTCCCCTCTCCCCGTTCCGCCGTCCGGGGCCTTTCATCGTCCGGGACCGGCCTCTCCCCGATCACCTCCTTGTTCGGGGGGGGATCCCCCCGCTCCCACCTTTCGGGCAAGGGCTTGAGCTGCCCCTCCCTGTCGGGCCGGGAGTGGAACGCCCCCCTTCCCCCGTGAACCCCTAGACCCTAACCCCAATACCCGAACCCTGGCAGCCCAACTCTCTTATCTAATCGTACCCCCTAAGCCCGTACATCCTGACCCGAACCCTCTGACCCAAACCTAGCCCCAAACCCGAACCCAAACCCTGACCACCATCGCCATCGTCATCGCCATCGCCATCACCATCACCATCACCATCACCATCACCAGCACCATCCTCCGCCTCTGCATCACCATCACCATCGCCATCACCATCACCACCACCAGCACCATCACCATCACCATCATCATCACCACCACCACCACCATCATCATCACCATCACCATCACCATCACCATCACCATCACCATCACCATCATCATCATCATCATCATCATCAGCATCATCATCAGCAGCATCATCATCATCATCGTCGTCATCGTCGTCATCATCATCATCTTTATCTTTTTCGTCACCATCACCACTACCATCATCAACAGCAGCACGATCATGACCATGATCATCATGATGATGATCATCACCACCACTACCACCATCATCATCAGCATCCTCACCACCACCACCATCACCAGCATCATCATCATCATCATCCTCATCCTCATCCTCCTCATGTTAATCATCAGCATCGCCACCATCGTCGTCATCAGCAGAACCACCATCATCATCACCATCATCATCACGATGATGACTACCACCACCATCATCATGCTTACCATACCATCACCACCATCACCATCTCCACCATCCCCGAATCACCACACCATCGCCATCACCTTCATTATCACCATCATCATCAGTACCAGTACCAATCATTCATCATCATCAACAACAGCAGCAACATCAGCATCAACATCAACATCATCACCATCATCATCACAATCACAATCACCATCACCATCAGCATCATCCGCATCGGCATCCGCATCCGCATGCTCATCCTCATCCTCATCCTCCTCATCCTTATCTTCATCCTCATCCTCATCATCAGCATCAGCACCAGCGTCAACATCATCATCATCATCATCATCATCATCATCATCATCATCATCATCATCATCATCATCTTCATCATCATCATCAACATCAACATCATCACAATCGCCATCACCATCATCCGCATCCTCATCCTTCTCCCCATCATCATCACCATCATCAGCATCACCATCATCATCATCAGCAGCATCATCGTCATAATCATCAGCAGCAGCATCATCATCACCAGCATCATCATCATCAGCGTCAGCATCATCACGATCATCAGCAGCAGCATCATCAGCCTCATCAGCATCGTCGTCATCATCAGCATCATCGTCATCAGCATCATCAGCAGCATCAGCATCATCAACATCATCGTCATCATCATCATCACCACCATCATCATCATCATCATCAACAACATCATCATCATCATCAGCAGCAGCATCAGCATCAGCATCAGCATCATCATCGTCATCACCATCACCATCATCATCAGCATCATCAACATCATCATCATCACCATCACCATCAACATCGTCAGCATCAGCATCAGCATCAGCATCAGCACCAGTATCCGTCCCCTCCTTCTCCAGAAGCCTCCGAATGTCCAGAAGCGTTCAGATGTCTCCTCCTTCCCCCTTCTGCCCCGAGGCGTCTTCCTGCCCACGACCAGGGAGACGCCTGGACAGCGCAGGGCTCCAGCGAGCGCGCCACGCGGCCGCCGGGCGCCGAGGCGGAGGAGAGCGTGGGCGTGCGCAGCGGACGAGGGGAGGGGGCGGAGTATACGCCCAAGGAGGAGGGAGAGGGGGCGGCGGAGGCGGAGGCGGAGAGGGGTCAGGGGGGGCGCGAGGGCGAGAGGGTATAAAGGGGAGGGGGTGGGGTGGGGGGTGGGGGGGGAGGGAGGCAGGGGGGAAGAGGGGCGACCGAGGGCGGAGGGGGAGAGGAAGGCATCGCGCGCGAGCGAAGCGAGGGAGGCACGCGGGTCTGCCATCGGCGGTTCTGGCAGCGAGGCCGCGGCACGGCGCGGCCTCTTATCCGCGGCCGCGGGGCTAGTGGAAAAGGGTCCTGGGAGAGGAGGCAGGAGGAAGGAAGAGGAGGAAGAGGAGGAGGAGGAGGCGGCGGAGGAGGAGGATGAGAAGAGAGAGAAGAAGAGGCGGAGGAGAAACGGGAACCTGTCTGATCGCC